TATGGCCTTTGACAAGTCTTCACCTCCCAGGGCCTCAGTTTCCTCTTCTGTAAAATGGGGGGGAAGGGGAGGAATGGGCTAAATGACCCCTAAGGTCCCTTCCTGCTCTAAATCTTTGATCCTATGTCATTATCATTAGTTATTGCTAGTGGCTTCCTTTTTTCTCTCCCCTCCTAGGGCCTCCTCTCAGCTTGAAGAATTCCTGCTCAATCTTTAAAGCAAAAGCTGTTTTTTCCGGAAGCCTGTTGGGACCCCCCCCCAGTTGCTAATTTCCTTTCCCTATGTCCGACCTCCGGTAACTCTTTTTTGGTCAGCTCTTGTGCCCTTCTTGTGTATTATTTTGCATTCTAGTTATTTGTATAAAATGAATGCTAATGCCTTTTTTTCTGTCTATGAATTCTCATTTATCCAGTCTACATCATGTTTGGACATAGTTATTTATATATTGTCGCCTCCGTTAGACTGTGACCTCCCTAAGAGCAGTGACTGTCTTTGGCCTTTCTTTGTATCCCCAGGGCTTAGCACAGTGTCTGGCATGTAGTGGGTGCTTAATCAGTCTTGCTGACTTGCATATGGGCTTTAACCTGACCTATAAGTTCTATCAGTGCAGGGGTCCTTTCTTATCTAAACTTCAGATTTCTACCCATCTCTCCCCACCAGTTGTTGTTCAGTTTGTTTCAGTTGTGTCCAACTCTTCACGACCCAGTGGTTTGACATTTCCTTCTCCAGCTCATTTTACAGATGAGGAAATGGAGGCAAACAGGGTGAAGTGACTTTCCCAGGGTCACATAGCTCATATGTGAACCTAGGTCTTCTTGATTCCAAAGCCCAATACTTGATGCACTACATTGTGAAGCAAGAAATATTTTTGAACAATTTAGCAAAAAATAAATAAATAAATAAGCTTCTATTATGTGCAAGGCCCTCCATTGTAGCCCTCCTTCAAAGGTTCATTGTGTCATGGAGGTGATTCTGAGTTCTCTGATGCTGTGCCAGTGAAGCACCAGCTCTGGCAGCTTCTACCGTATCAGAAAGGTTTGGAGCACAGGCTGGCTGGGGGCACCTTGTCAATAATTCTCTTAGTGTGTAGAAGACAAAATCACAGCTACTTGAAGCATGCCAAGAATGTACTAGGGCAGGGGTGGGGAACCTGCAGCCCTGAGGCCACATGTGGCCTTCTAGGTCCTTGGGTGCAGCATTTTGACTGAGTCCCAGTTTTACAGAACAAATCCTTTTATTAAAGGGAATTTTTCTGTGATGTTTGGATTCAGTCAAAGGGCCACACTTGACGACCTAAAGGGCCCCATGTGGCCTCGAGGATGCAGGTTCCCCACCCCTGTGCTAGGGGATCCAAAGGTAAAATTGCCAATCAGGTATGAGAATGACTGTTTCTTTGGGGACTTGAGCCAAGAAAACCCCACTGGAGTTTAAGGTGAAACACACACCTTGGAGCAGGGGTTCTTAACCTTTGTGTGTGTCCTGGACCCCTCTGGCAGGCAGTCTTCTGAAGCCTATAGATGGACCCCCTCTCAGAATCACATTTTTACATGTATAAAGTAAAATACATAGGATTACAAAGGACACTAGTCATATTGAAAAACAGTAACCATACTATTAAAAACAAACAAAAAACAGTTCTGGTACCAGAGGTTAAGAACCCCTGCTTTAGAGTTTGACCGTGTGGCTGGAGCCTAGGTATCCCAGACTGGCAGCAGACCCAAACTGTAGGTGGAGGGTTTTGGAACAGCAACTGAAACTCTGTTAAAGGTTGACAGGTGCTACAGACCTGTAGGTAGTCATCCAAGCAACAGCAACTGACATGGCTGAAGCCATTTCAGAGAGATTAGGAAAGATCGAGGCTAAAAGTTGGGAATGTAGTTTTTTTTTTTTTAATTTACATTTTTATTGATGCCTTTAGCCTTCATATCACCTTCATTTCCAAATGTATTCTCCCCTTCTGCACCCCAACTGCCTTAGTCTTTTACAAAGAGTGAAAGATGGGGGAAGGGCACAAGAAGCAGTCTGGGGAAAACTAGCCAACACATTAACCGAGTCTAAAATTATATGGGTGCTCCACATCTGTAGTTCCCCTACACATACATACAGTCACCTCTGCAAAGAAGGGAGGGAGGTGTATTTTGAGGTATGGACTTGAAGAAAAATTTTGAGTCAGCAAGCATGTCCCTCCTCCAACCAAAGTGATGACATGTCAAAGTTAGAAAAAAAAAACTGGACTCTTGAGTCAGAAGACATGAGTTAAAGTCCTTCTGCTATTTGCTGCTGGTGTACACTGAACAAGTCACTCAATCTCACTGAACCTCAGTTCCCTCATCTGTAAAATGGGGACAAGAATAATTGTATTGCCTCTTCTAAGTTTATTGTCTAAGGAAAGTATTTTGGTAAAAGGCTGCAGAAATGGGAGCTGATAATCAATTATAACGATGATATGGGTGGAGGAAAATGGAAAGATGTGGAGAGAAGAGAGGAGTATTCAGATCTGGAGAAGCCACAAAATAACTAAAGAACAGGAACGACGCCTATGATTTCATGAATATAGAGAATGAACAAACATCTCAGATAATGGTACCTTCTCTGTGACTTACAGCCTTAGAGAATTGGCTAGAGCACCACATGTGTCATAGCGGAAAACTTGAACCCAGTTCCTCTTGGTCTTGGGGCTGGCTCTCTAGGTACTGAACCATGATACCTCTCCAAAGGCGACAAAAATACTGACCTTGACTTGAATACAGGACTAGGAAGGAACAAAAAGGTAATTATACAGTGGTAGGAAAGTAAGGGCTACGGAAAAGTATTAACTACATACTGGGGTGTATGGGGTGGCAAGGAGGACTAGCACCTCCAGTTGTGAGGGCTTGCCGAGCACTTTTCAGGGCTGCTCATCCACCTGTGGTATCTAACTGGAACTCCACTCCCACCTGTGGTTCCAAGAAGCTGTAGCATATGTAGCGGCCACACACTGGTAAACTGTTTCAGCAGATGGACTAAACTAGGTTGAGGGTAACCAACTGGCTTTTGGTGAGTTGGAGGGGTTGAGGGGTGGGGAGTGTACCCTAAGCATATGAGACTTTCCCCAGTGGAATGGGAGAATGAGAATAATTTGTTCCAACGGCCATGAAGACCGCTGAAGTGTCGTCCCGACTTTGGTCTTGTCGCTGGACTTCCATGACTCTGGAAGAGAGAGTGAGGCTGACAACTTTGAGCAACTCTGCCTCACTTAAATCCCATTCTCGCAGGAGTCAAGACATCATTCCATGATGTCATTGGTCCTCTTTGAAAACTAAGGACATTTCCCAATTGATAAATGGTCAAAGGATATGAATAGGCAGTTTTCTGAGGAAGAAATTAAAGCTATCTACAGTCATATGAAAAACTGCTCTAAATCACTTTTGATTAGAGAAATGCAAATCAAAATGACTCTGAGGTACATCACACCTATAGATTGGCTAACATGACAAAATAGAAAAATAATAAATGTTGGAGAAGATGTGGGAAAATTGGAACACTAATGCATTGTTGGTGGAGTTGTAAACTGATCCAGTCATTCTAGAGAGCAATTTGGAACTATGCCCAAAGGGCTATAAAAATTGTGCATACCCTTTGACCCAGCAATACCACTTCTAGGTCTGTATCCCAAACAGATCATAAAACAGGAAAAGGACCCACATGTACAAAAATATTTATAGCAGCTCTTTTTGTGGTGGCAAAGAATTGGAAATTGAGGGGATGCCCATCAACTGGGGAATGGTTGAACAAGTTGTGGTATATGAATGTAATGGAGTACTATTGTGCTATAAGAAATGATGAGCAGGCAGATTTCAGAAAAACCTGGAAAGACTTACATGAACTGATGCTAAGTGAAATGAGCAGAACCAAGAGAACATTGTACACACTAACAGCCATATTGTGTGATGACTGACTTTGATAGACTTAGCTCTTCTCAGCAATACAATGATCTAAGACAGTTCTCAAAGACTCATGATGGAAAATGCTATCCACATCCAGAGAAAGAACTATGGAGTCTGAATGCAGATCGAAGCATACTATTTTCATTTTTTTTTTTGCTTTTTGTTTTTTCTTTCTCATGGTTTTTCCCTTTTGTTCTGATTCTTCTTTCACAACATGACTAATGTGGAAATATATTTAATGCTACTATATATGTATAACCTATATCAGATTGCTTGCTGTCTTGGGGAGAGGGGTAGGGAGGGAGCGAGAAAAATTTGGAACTCAAAATCTTATAAAAGTGTATGTTGAAAACTATCTTTACATGTAATTGGAAAACAAATGCTATTAAGTAGGATAAAAGAGAACCCAGGGTCACCTTCAAGTCATGTTAAGGCATTGGGGTTGTCTTTCATGCTCAAAGAGGAGCAAAATGACATCACTATGGAGGGGTCAAGGTAGTGTGTCCAACTGTAGCTGATCTGACCAATACGAGCTCAGAAGGCTCTACCACAAGTCGGGCACAAATAGTCCATATGAACCTTTGGAGTAAAGATGTCTCTTAATTTGCACATCTCACATTTCTTTTGAGCTACTGCAATTCTGTTTTGCTCATACAGCACAGTACCTTTTTTGATGTAAGCACGCCATGCTGGGCAGTCCTTTGCCAGTTTCTCCCATGTCACACAATAGATTCCAAAGTTTTTCAGAGAGACCTTGAGAGTGTCCTTTTATTGCTTCTTCTGACCACCATGTGAACACCTGCCTTGCATGAGTTCTCCATAAAATAGTCTTTGAAACAAATGAAAGTTTGGCATTTGAACAATGTGGCCAGTCCATCAGAGTTGTGCTCTCTGAAGCAGAGTTTGAATGCTTGTCAGTTTAGCTCGAGAAAGGACCTCAATGTCTGGTACCTTATCCTGCCAGATGATCTTCAGAATCTTCCTAAGACAATTCAAATGGAAGCGATTCAGTTTCCTGGCATGGCGCTGGTATACTGTCCAGGTTTCAAAAGCATACAACAATGAGGTCAGCACAACAGCTCTGTAGACCTTCAGTTTGGTATTCAGTCTAATACCTCTTTTCTCCCACACTTTCCTTTGGAGTAGAAGAAGTTTTGCAAGTTACCCAAGCAAAATCATGCTAAGGACATTCAAAGAAATAAGAAATAGTAAGAAAAACAGAAGAAAATTGGAAAAGATTTGTAAAAATTATTACAACAAATTATTTTTATCATCAATGACAGTGGAACCACTGCACTTAGACATTCCCCTAACATCATAGTCTCTGAGGTGCTTATAGAGGACTTAGAAATGGCACTGAAGAGAACAAAAACGGGAAAACCAGCCAGATTGGAATACCCAGGTGGAAAGGCATAGCACCAGTAGACTGGCCACCCCATGATAAAATGTTTCTGGCCAAGGCAATCTATGAAAGAGAGAAAATAGAAACTGGCCCTCAAGTCTTTTGGGGACTCCTCCCACTTCTTTAGTGATGATGGCAGAGTGGAAGGAAAGGGGATAGAGATACTAAGAATCACACAATTTTTAGACCATCAACAAACTTTAATTTTATGGTTAGTGCTTTAAATGTGAGACCCTTGTCTAATGACCAGTGAGTGGGCATATTGCTGGAGGAGCTGAATCATAGCAATCATGAGATTCTTGCTATAAATTTTTTTTGGGGAGCTAGGCAATGGGGTTAAGTGACTTGCCCAGAGTCACACAGCTAGTAAGTGTTATGTGTCTGAGGCTGGATTTGAACTCAGGTCCTCCTGAATCCAGGGCCAGTGATCTATCCACTGCGCCACCTAGCTGCCTCTATTCTTGCTATAAATTAAACCAAAAGAAAGAAGGAAGTTGCAATTAAATGGAAGGAGAGCTTGAAAGTACTCCTTGGAGAAGCAACCTCCCCCCCCACACACACACATTAGAGATCTATGTTGAAGGCATTATAATTATGAGAACATCAAGGGACCAATTTGATCATTGTCTTTCATGCTCAAAGAGGACCAAAATGATATCACTATGTTGGAGTAAAGGTACATTGTGTCCAACTGTGGCTGATCAGACCAATACAAGCTCAGAAGTCTCTACCACAGGTTGGGCACAAATAGTCCATATGAACACTTGGAGTGGAGATGTCTCTTAATTTACACATCTCACATTTCTTTTGAACTAGTGCAATTCTGTTTTGCTCATAGAGCACAGTACCTTCTTTGATGCAGGCATGCCACACTGGACAATCCAGTGCCAGTGATATTGGTATCTGCTGCTTCATTGCCCATTGCCACAGGACTTTGAGGTAGGTAAAAATGGCAAAATGGTGTGTATGATGTCCATAAATTAAATTTAAGTGAGGCAGAGTCATGGAAGTCATTTGCCTCACTCTTCCACAGTCATCAAAGTCTAATGACAAGACAAAAGTCAAGATGACTGGTGATGGCTAGGGGTGCAATGGATGACCTTGGCATCTGCAGTGTGTAACCGAGCTCTGAGCCCTTCACAGCACCTGCTTTCCCCACCTTCATGGCCCTTTGGAACAAATTGTTCTCATTTTCCCATTCTGCCAGGGCAAATATTTACATGCTTGGGGTAGGCGGTCCCAACTTCATTGATGAGTTTGAGGCCTGTTGGTTACCCTCAATCTGGCATAGCCCGTCTGCTGAAATGGTTTACCAAGGTGTGGCTCCTGGGCATGCTATAGTTTCTTAGAGCCACAGGTGATAGTTGAGTTCCAGGTGGACAACAAAAGTGGATGAGCAGCCCTGAAAAGTGCTCAGCAGCCCTCACACTAGAGATATTTATCTTCTCTGAGCCCCCATACATCTCAATGGTAGGGGACCAATGTATAAGGTATATAAAGTAGGGAAAGATACCAAAGGCATAGAAAAAATCTTAGATGATATTGATACCAAAAAAAAAGGTGCCACAGAGTATATCAACAACTACTGACCTGTATGTCTATTTTCCCATTAATGAAATATCTTTGTGAGGGTCATATGTACACAAATTGAGGGTATCCACTTTGAAGGTATCGGCAGGGAACATGCAGACTTTCATAAAATGTATTCAATTATAGACTACATCTTTCCTATCTCACAGTTGACTGAAAGATATAGAGAATGTAATGTCCCATTGTTGATTATGTAAAAGCATTTGACTTGGTAGAACAAAATGCCACCTTGCAGGCTCTTGTACAAGGATCAAATGAGTTAAAAGTGCTTTGCAAATCTTAAAGCAATATATAACTACCTATTGTTGTTGTTAACTATTATTGCTAACAAAGGATTTCCTATCCATACATCAAGATTATTCGATATTCCTTCAAAGATGTAAGGACAGAAATAATCCTGTTCATTGACCCTCTGATAATAAACATCAGGGGAGGCATAAATCAGGGAGATTAATGCTCACCAAAAGTGTCCACCACTGTGGAGGAGAGCCCACTTAAGAGTCCAGATTGAGATTCACAGTGAATGATGAAGTCCTCTAGATGTCCCTGTTTGTGAATGACATGATGTTGATTACATCAACGCTAAGACCTTGCAGAGCCTCCTGGAAGGGATCTTGAATCATCTAAAAGTGTTTGCCCTGTCCATCCACACAGAAAAGACCAAATGGATGATGAATATCTATTGGCCAGATTTCAACACGCATCTGAATGGGCATCTTATGGAGCTTGTGTAACTGGGACAGAAAGTACACATGGACAGTGAGCAGGGGCTAGAGTTGAATAGGAAGAGGACAGTGGGATTAGATTGCTTTTGGGAAACTGCAAAGCTCTCTTAATGACTTCAAGCTTCCCATAACAATGAAGACCCATCTTTTCAATGCAAACATTTTACCATTGTTGCTATATTTCACTGAGACTAGGAGGAATCACTTCCTTTGAAGAACTACAGATGAGCATCATACAGGGGGCAATGGACAGGCACACAGGGTTGGGGGTGGGGAGCAGACTGCAACACATGACTAAGGAAGAATTCTGAGGAACAGAGTTTGGGTGCCATCAAAGAATTTTAAGCATCAGAGCTAGGATCAAAACCCAAGGTTCTGGATTCCCAATCTATGATGAGTGTGCAGGCAGATTGTGGAGAAGTCCCCTGCTGCCAAACCAGCTGTGCCCAGTGCCACCATACCATTAGAACCAAACTTTGCCCTTGCACAAAACCAATCTCCCACAGACGGGGATTTAATTTCTTTTTAGAGATCTCCAGACAACCATTGTCAGAGATGATAACCTTTCTTTTTAATGAAGGTCCACCAGTGGATGGGGAAAAAGTGTATGCTCTCAAGATAATCTCTCAGGTTCCTTCCAGCCACAAGATGCTATGAGCCCATGATAAAAACAGTGGCTTGAAAAAAGTGCCGTTCAGCAGCAAAGCCCTAAGCTCCCTTCCTTCCTTTTCTATCCATCCTTTTCAGTCCTTCCTTCCTCCCCCTTCCCCCCCTCTGTCTGTCCCCATCTTGATTAAGTAAAGGAAAACTAGCCAGGGAACAAAGGATATCAGAAAAGACCATGCACTATAATATAAGACGATAATAATAATACCTTACATTTATATGGGCTTTATACTTTGTGAAGCTCTCACATATCACATTTGGTTTCATTGTAAAGAAAGAAGTCTGACTGGAGGGAAAGAAAATGTGAAAGAGAAAGAAGGCACATTAGCATGTTTTTCATATTTGAGCTTTCATTTCAATTTCTATTCCGACATATGTACTAGAATAGCTAGTTCAAAGGACTGTTGTGAAAATTAATTGGATTAATTCATAAACATGAGATTTAGGTTATAGAAGAATACTAAATAAATACAGAAGGGAAATGAACTATGAAAATGAAAGTCAAATAGTTGCTAGTTAGAAACTTACAATCATTGACTCCCAGGGGTAGATGGGACCTTGTGAAGGGTTCAACAACTACCTGAAGCATGGATCTCCTCTATAACATCCTTGACAAATGGTCACTCAGCCCCTAAATTCTTCCAATAACAGGGAAGGGGAAGGGAATAAGCATTTATTAAGTGCCTGCTATGTTCCAGGCACCATGCTAAGCGCTTTACAAATGTTATCTCATTTGGTCCTCACAATAACCCTCAGAAGTAGGTGCTATTATTATCCCCATTTTGCAGTTGGGGAAACTGAAGCAAACAGAGGTTAAGTGATTTGCCCAAGTAGTAAGTTTCTGAGGCAGGATTTGAACTCAGGTCTTCCTAAACTTGCTACTTCATTCCATTGTTGGGATAGCTATACATTACTAGGAAACTTCTTTTTATTGAACTAGACTCTTTTTCTGTAACTTGTTGCCATTGGCCTGAGTTCTGTCTTCTAGGGCCAAGAGAATAAATCAAATCCCTCTTCTACATGCTAGCAAGCAATCAATAAGCATTTATCAAGCACATTACTATGTGCTAGGCGCTATGCCAGATGCTGGGGATAAAAGCACTAAGAATGAAACAATCCCTACTTCCAATGAGCTCACATTCTAAAGAGGAGACAAGAACATATATAAGTACATGCAGCATAAATAAACATAACAGGCTTAGATAGTAATATATACAAAGAAGTTAAATATTAAATAATTGGGGAGGGAGGGCACTGGAAATTTAGGGGGATTCAGGAGATCCCCAGATCCTCAGATGTAGAAGTTGGGACTTTGACAGTAAGAGGGAATACAAGTATTTGAGAACAAGCTCTCCTTAAATCTTTTCTTCTATGGGCCAGAAACCCCCATTTCTGTCAGGTAATCTTCATATGACATGGTTGCAAGTTTCCTCACCATCCTGGTCATCCTCAAGTATCTTAGAATGCTCTCCCTCCTCACCTCTGCCTTTTTGGAGTCTCTGGCTTTCTTCAAGATTCAGCACAAGTGTCAGCTTCTCCCTGATATCCCCAGCTGCCTTCTCATCTAAGGTTATCTTGTGTCTGTCTGCTTTGTGTGTGTCTTATATATATGTGTGTGTATGTATACCTACATGTATATGTGTCACCTACCCTGAGAAAATGTAACTTCCTTGAGGGCAGGGACCCCTTCACTTTTGTCTTTCTGTCTCCAGGGTTTACCAAAGTGCTTAGCATGGAGGAGGCATAGAGTCATAAGTTTAGAGCTTGAAGGGCCTTTATTGTCCCATCAAACACAACCCCCTCATTTTACACATGACAGAACTAAGGAAGTGAAATGACTTGCCCAGGATCACCCAGGTAGTCATTTAATAAATGCTTGCTGATTGAAAGAAGGGAGAGGCTGGAGTATAATCCAACCTAACAAACAATTATTAAACTCCTAGTATATGCGAGGCACTGTACTAGGTGTTGGGAATACTAAGACCGAAAGGAAAAACAATCCTTATTGCCAAGTAGTTTACCTTTTACCAGGGGAAGAGACAGAGCAACAGAAACCTAGATAAGTAGGTATAGTATAATTGATGAGAAAGGAGAAGGGAGAGAGAACTTTGGCATAAGGGACAAGTTCACTGGGTGGGTGGGGCTACATCCTGAAATGAGTTATAGCTGAGATGAAGCTTTAATTAAAACAAACAAAGAAACAACATTTTTAAGAGAGCAGGGGGCAGGGCAGGGGTTCAGGAAAGTTATTATCTATGAGGTGACACATGAGCTGAACCTGAAAGAAGCCAGAGATTGTCAAGAGGTGGAGGTGAGGAGTGAATACCTTGAAGGTATGGGGACAGACTATACAAAAGCATGGAGGCAATCCGTGGATCCAGAGGGTCAAGAAATTTTAGAGAAGAGGGAAGATTTGTCCCTTAGGCCAACAGGTTGCCCATTCTTGGGGAGGCAAAGAAGCTGAGGACTTAAGCTAAATCCAGGTCCAGGTTTGATCCCTGGACATTAACAGGAAGCTAGGAAGAACAGGATCTAAGGACAGGGATTACTAAAGCCAGTAACCTTTGATATTCTGCCTTCCTCAATTTCTGGCTGCCCTTTGGAACCTAGGATCAAAGTGCTAGTGACACCCTTCCCTCCGCCTTCCCTGTACACATAATCCACTTGATGAGTGCCAGCTGCTAAGGCAGGTGACAGCAGGTGACAGCTGACCCCTCATGCATGGAGCACTCATACATTTATATACATAGTCTTTAGTTACGCTGCTCCCACAAGGGGTGGGGCAAACCCTGATGGCATCAGAAAACAGATCTTCAGAACACTCCACATCAGCTGTTAGGGGGCTAGAATTCTTCCCTTCCTTTCCCCCACCCCCCACTCTCCTCCAGAACCCCTTTCCATTAGGGCCTGGAAAAAAGACTCAGCCCTAATTGTGCTGGAACCCTAATTTGTTCTCAGGAGTTCTGGGTAGATTAAGTATGGGGCTGGGTAGAATGGATATCAGCTCAGATCTTCCAGGGTGGGGAGTGCTTTTGCCAGTCTTTAACTAAAATCATTATCGCTTTGTATCCTTTATAGCTTTTATATAAATAAACAGAGAAATCTAAAGTATACAAACTAATGAATACCTTCTGAATACCTTCAGAAAGTTCTTAATTTCAAAGTCTTAAATCGAACTCAATTCTCCTCTTGCAGTTTGCTATAACAATACATTATTACTTCATACATTTCGGTTTGTCATGATAATTCTGAATGCATTCATTATTGGTCTTCCACCCATCACAAGGTGCTACCTCCCCCCAAGAAACTTTCTTTGATCTCCCCCCTCCAAGCAATGTCTCTTTGATTTTCCTCAGGCACTTTGTTTAGCCCTCTTTCCCCCAGTGTGTCCATTGTTCCCAGACCCAGCTAGCTAAGTGTGGACATGCTCATTGGTCACCAGATGCTGATCTATTCTGATCTGGTATCTAGGTTGTCAGAGGAACACCCACACCAATGAAATGGAATTATTGACCCCGTGACTGGGGTCACTAGGCCAAAGGGGCTTGAACAGTTTGGTAATCTTTATTGTGTGTGTACTGTTAGATTGTTGGCTAAAAAGATTGCACCAGCTCCAGATTCTGCCAGCATGGTAGACTGCTGGGTCTATTTCTCCACAGCCCATCAACTTGGCATTTTATTGAATTTTTTAACCATTGTCAATTTAGAGGTAGGCAGAGCAAGAGAAACAAAGCCTTGGAATTGTATACGGTTGTGCCTGGAAGCTGGGTAAACTGGGTCCTATTGCTAGGGCTATCCATTGGGGTTTGGGTTCATTCCAGGCCTGGTTTGTCTGTGCACTGCAGACTCCCTGACTATAAAATAATGTCTATACTTGGTAATTGCAGTAAGTTTTTAAGGATGCATTTTCAGGTTATTTGAAGAAGGCATTTTACACTACTATTACTACGTACTACTATAATGATAATGGCTCCCATTTCAGTATTGCAAAGCGCTTTCCCCGGGACAACCGGGAAAAGAAGGTACAGAGTATAACGTTACTATCTTATGATTGGCTTTGGTCGATGTGGGCACATGTAAGCCTTTTTACAAAAATTGTACTAACTTTATTTTAGCTATTGAATACATTAGCCCCAGATTTTTTTCTCTCCATTC